TGTGTGTGTGTGTGTGTGTGTGTGTGTGTGTGTGTGTGTGTGTGTGTTTCGAGTAATACACTGTGTACATTCATCACAGCCTCCAAGTCGCTTTTTCACTCTCTGGACAAATTTCGTCTTTGCCACATTCAGACTCGGGCAACGATTAATCAGCTTTTGGTCACTTTGGGAAAGGCATTCATAGTAAATTACAGACAGCTCGGCGCAATAATGTGCCACAAGTATCTGAAATGTATCTGCAGGCTCTCGCATATTACGCACAGAGAATGCAGTGTGCGAAACATCCTGTAATCTATCAGCCAGTCTGGCAGGAAGAATGGACGTATGAGTCAGCTACATACTAAGAGTATTCGCGCAACATTTTCCCTCCAGAGAGAGCAGTGATTAATCTGAATGTCTCTCTCTCTCTCTCTCAGACACAGATCCGCGGGTCCTGGAGAAGCAGGAGCAACAGCAGCCCACTTATCTGGCCCTAAGCTACATCAACAGGTACACACACACACACACACACGCACACACACACACAGAAGCAAAGGTGTCTACAGAGGGCAGCATTGCTCTACCAGTGGAAGGACTGTATTTAAGTGTGTGAGTGTGCGTGTGCGTACATGTGGCTTGCGGAGAGCAGCTCAAATGAATGATGTCTTCCCATAGACACAGCAGTGACTCATCCACAGACCAGCACAGAAAACCACATAAGACAATCACTCCTAAATCCCCGTGCTGTAAACGGCACAACCGTTGTGTCATGCACCGTTAAATCACTCCGACACGCAACACTGAGAAAGATAACGGTAAAACAGAGAGAGTTAGGTTTGTGTTTCTGTGGTAATTGTTCACAAGTGGCGAGGCTGTAAATGTCAGCCGCATTTACTGTACAATGTTGTGACAACTGTATATGTTATGTACACTCAGTTTTGTTTGTGTTCTGTCAGTTGGTGTCGCTGCTTATGTACGGCCCCATCTGACTTTATTATAACAATGTCCGTGTGTTCCAAGTTAATTGCTTTGATCAGCGTAGAGTTGTCATAACTGACAGAGACGTTGGCTAAAGAAATTCAGACCCAAGTTAGAAATGATAATAAAAGGGAAACTTTTGGATGCAACAGTTATATTTTCTTTGAATTAAGTTTAGTATTTCAGTAGGTTCACCTGCATTGCCGCCATTAATTAGGTCATCAAGGTGACATCATGTTGGTAAATTGTATTATATTCAGGGACTTAACCGTGTCATGGGATTTACTGATGACACCCCCCTTTCGCCACCGTTGCGTGTGATCAGGTTCATGACGGATGCAGCGCGCCGGGAGCAGGAGACCATGAAGAAGAAGGCCGCGCCCAAGCTGTCCCTGGCCCTCACTGGCGGAGTGTCCAGGAATAGCACGGCCACGCCTCCTCGACACACCAGCGGTAACCTGACGCCTCCGGTCACACCCCCCATCACTCCCTCTTCCTCCTTCCGCAGCAGCACACCTACAGGTACGACAGGTGTGTTTGAGACAAAGAGAGACAGATTGATTGTACTTGTTGAGTGACTGGAGCTGCTGGAGCTGGCAGGAAACAGAAACCGCTTGCGGTTATGTTTACGCCATTCGGAGCCCCTTCATCACATTCAGACGGCGGTCTGATGAGCAAATGAAGACATTTGTAATGTAAATAGAATGCATCTTATTCAGTAATGCAAAATAATGCAAACTAGAAGAGGCTCAAAGCCCAACCACTGTCGTGTGTGTGTGTGTGTGTTTGTGTGTGTTGTTTGTGTGTTGGGTTAGGTGGCTCCTGCAGTGAGCAGACCAGTCAACACTCTGCTAATTACATAGCAGCTGTCACGCTGTGTGTTAGCATGGGGCCGTGTGTTGCTCAGCCCAGAAGCAGATGTCCAATTCCAGCCCAAATGGTTCCAAACGTAGTGTTAGGTCTGGCCTTATATACACACACATATACACACACACACACACATATATATACACACACACACACACACACACACACACACACACACACACACACACA